GGAAGGGGCCTGGACCTGGACCTGGCCGGGACCTGGAGCCCGGAGCGGGACAGTCTGGACGGATGGTGACGAGGGAGGGGGAGGGGCAGCCCAGCCCGCCATCCATCAGGCAGGTCGGCAGGCAGGGGTGCGTGGGTGCGTGGGTGAGGTGTCTTATCTGACGACTTGTTGTTTGGTGCTGGTGTCTCTCTCGCCTGGCGTCTTCACGGTCGGCGCCGGTCGTGTGGTACGTGGATGCTGCAGGATGGCGGAAGGCTCAACATAGTTGCGCCTCTGCAAACTCTCAATATCAAAGGCGCTGGACACGTACTGGCGGACGGCTTGCAGTCGTCTGCTCGTTGCTACAGCGGGAAGCTCCTTTTTAGACTCAAGTTGCCGCTGCGCCAGACTACTTACTACAAAGTGCGAGAGCTTGAATTGGCCGTGGCACGCCTGGCATCCGAAATTCAATGGGCATGACAATTGCGGGGGAGAGACCCAATTATGTGCAACCTCTGTCCTATGGATGTAGCTTCCCGCAATGCCTTACGATCGCTGTTTGATCGCAAGATCGGATCGCGGAGCTGTCACGGCGGACATGGGCGTCGCGTCCAGTCTGGTCTTCGCTTCGTCTGCGCTTCGTCTGCGCTTCGTCTGCGCAGACGACCCCTCTCGTCCATAAAATCCGGAAGCTGAAGCTCAGCCGAATTGCCTAGCCTGCTGGCTGTCACTCTGGCTTGTCTTGTGTCTCATGTCCGTGCGAAGGCATGCACAAAATGATTGGCATGAGCAATGAGAGGGCAGAAAAAGAAACAGAAAAAGAAACAGGGGAAGAAAAAAAAAAGAAAAAAAAAAGACGAGAGGCACAGACCCCGACAAGCTGAGTGTCACTCCCCCAAACGGGCAATTCCTGTACCACGCGACGTGGTGAATGGCTCCCTGTCATTGGGTACAGGAAAACTGCATCCATAGGAAGGTAGCTCAGACCTCTCAATGTGATGCTGCTTTCCCCTCAAAATCATCACCCCAAAATGTCACCCACTCGTGGCCACTGCCCAAACATCGACCGGCGCACGTTCTGGGCCAGCGCCTAGAAGACGTACTACAGACGATCAATGATGAATTATCCCCATAAAATGCGTCCATCGCGGTGCCCCCATCGTGCCACATCCCGCTACGATTTGTGCACGTTGTGCAGCTTGTGCAGGAACCGCAGGTGCTCCCTCCGCTCTTGACGTCATGATGTCTTGCCCATTACAGCTCAAGCTCCCCAACGCCGGGGCAGCAGTCACGTAACGAGCGCCCTTCTATGATGAAATGGCCGTTCCTTCTGCAGCTATGGTAGCTATGGCAATGAGGTCAGCTTGGCCATTGGGGTTCAAATAGGAGGAGCTGTCCAAGACCGGAGCTGGTTACTTTCGCTCTCACCTACATCACTTCACGATACCAGCAAACGAAGCTTCATCTGCGAACGACTGTTCAATTGACCTCGTTTGCCAACAAATACCAAATTCACCACCACAAACCCGCCACAATGTCTTTCTCCAACACTTCCACCGGCGACAAGCCCGCCGACCCCTACAAGGCCACCAACAAGGACACCAATGTCTCCGTCAAGGACAAGGTCGAGGACCTCGTCAACTTCGCCAACAAGAGCAAGTTTGGCATGATGACGACCAGAGATGCCAAGTCAGGCGCCCTCGTCTCCCGCTGCATGGGTGTTGCAGCCACGGTAAGCTTATTTCCGCCCCATGCTCCTTCACGGTGCCAGAAATTCTAACGCCACTCAGGAAAACGGTGGCATCGACCTGCTCTTCTTCACCAACACAGAGTCCCACAAGACGGATGAGATCGACAGCGATCCCCACGTCAACATTGCCTTCTACAACAGCTCTGGCGACTGGGCTTCCATTTCAGGCGTCTCCAGCGTCCTCACCGACCGATCCATCGTCAAGAAGCACTACAGCTCTTCGCTGAAGGCATGGCTTGGTGACCTCGGCGACGGCAAGCACGACGGCTCTGAGAACGACCCCCGTATCGGCGTCATCCGCGTCAAGACGGTCAGTGCCACGTATGCCATCAGCAACACCAACATCGTTGGCAAGGTTGCCCAGGTCGCCGAGGGCATCGTGACCGGCAGCCCTGCCCACGTTAACAAGCTTCGCGAGATTTCGTCCTCCGAGGTCGAGCAGTACCGCTCGGCTTCCTCTTAATTGCGTTAATTAGGGTCAATGAAAAACATGTACATTAGAAGCGTCATTTGGGGGAACGAGGGAAAAGAATCAGCACCAACCAACCCGAATAACGGGACATGAATGATGACTATTGCTTCCCATAATCCGCCTCCCAGCTCTTGTCAAAGGTCTCCTTGTTGAACGCGAACTCGCGAATGTAGTCCCTCTCGAGCTCATGCGCCCTCCTTCCGAGCAGGACCATGCTGTGCAGCGGCCCTCCCAGCATCTCATCCGTCTCGCACAGCTCCTTCAGCGTACCCGCCACAAACTTCTCCGTCTTGCCGCCCACCCTCGCCGCGCCGACCGCCAGACTATCAGGCCCGTACACGCCCTCGCCCTTCTCCTCCTCAATCTCAAGCATCTGCGCCGCGCACTGGCCCACCGTCATGTACCGCGGCGGCTCGTAGATCTTGCGCCCGCGCGCCATGTTCTCGAGGCTCTGCTCCTTGACCTTGATGTCGAGCAGCACGAGCGTGTGCAGGCCAATGCTGCGGTTCTCGCGGATGCGGTCGTAGAACGACGCCGGCTTCCAGTTGTCCAGGAAGAAGACCATGGAGACGGTCTGGCCAAAGTTGTAGAGCTGCAGGCCCGTGGCGCCGATGCCGGACATGATGGAGGCGTTGGGGACGGTCGAGACGGGGATGGCGAGCTCGCGCGCGCGCAGGACGAGGTCGGTGTGCGTGGTCGCGCCGAAGGGGTCGCCGACAACGAGGAAGGCGACGTCGACGGTCTGGGCGTCGCGGAGGATCTCGTCGCTGTTGGACTCGACCATTTCGCGGTCGGCGATGACGACTTCACGGCCGTAGTAGCTCTCCTGCGCATGGTGAATGATGTGTTAGTTGGCTTGGCCTAAAGCAAGGAGTGTAGCATAGGTGAGGCTTGAGTAGAACGCACCAAGATGGCCTTGTCCACGAGCAGGATGCTGGTGTAGGCTTCCAGGTAGACCCTGGAGGCCTTCTTGACGACCTCGAGGCCCTTGACGGTGATGTCTGTCTCGTCAGAGAGACCGAGACCGACGAGGTACAGCATTTTGGCGGCTTTATTGGGGTATCAACAAAAAGGAATACAGTTGTGTTGCTCTCGAAGTCGCAAAGCAGAGGGGTGAGTCGACGCCGTCTAGACCGAGCGCATGTCCATTTCCTTTTTTTTTTTCTCTCTCTCTGCGGCTTTGGAGGGGGAGGGGTTGGAGGGGTAGGTATTTTTTAGCGCTGTAACCCCACCACCGAGACGCCCCTGGACCATGTCTCGTCCGCCCCTCCCAATTTTCCCTGGCCTGAATCCCTGCAGCCTCGTCCGCTAATCAGGTCCCCAGTCAATTCATATCTCCCAGACACCAAGTTTCATCATCGACGCGTCTTGGGACTGTTGGCCGCGCTCTTCGAACATCAACCATCCTACGTCGACCATCGACCACCATCGATCTCCCCACATCATTCCATCGAAACCTGCGACTGGCGAGGAGACAAACTCCCGACCGAAACGACGCGTCCACGCACCGAGGCACCACAAACATACACAATGGCCGACAAGAACGGCAGCGCGTACGGCGCGCCCGCAGGCGACACCGACTTCCGCAAGACGTGGGACCTGGACGAGTACGCCGCCAAGGCCAAAGATCGCGAGGCCAAGGAAAAAGAAGAGTCCAAGGCGCGCTACGAGGCGAAGCTCGCGGGCAAGAAGTACCACAAGCCGCTGACGGGCAACGAGACGATGACCTCTGCGCGACGGACCGTGCTGGACCTCAGCGCGCAGGTGGGCAAGACGCAGCTCGTCCCGGCGGGCGCGGGCGTGGGCAAGCGCGGGCGCGGCGCGGGCTTCTACTGCGAGGCGTGCGACCTGACGTTCAAGGATAACAAGCAGTTCGTGGAGCACCTCAACACGCCGCAGCACCTGGCGAACACGGGGCAGACGACGGAGGTGCGGCGCGCGACGGCGGAGGAGGTAAGGGAGCGGATTGAGATGCTGTGGCAGCGGAAAGTGGACTTTGAGAAGGAGAAGGCGACGAGTCTGGAGGAGAGGTTGGCGCTGCGGGAGGAGGAGAGTTTGAAGGAGGCGGAGGAGAGGAGGAGGAAGCGGAAGGAGGCGGATGAGAGGAGGAGGGTGAAGGCGGAAGAGGCGGAGAAGGTGAAGACGGAATATGGGGAGGATGTGAGGATTGAGGGGGAGCACGACGAGGATGATATGATGGCCGCGATGGGGATTAGCGGGTTTGGGACATCGAAGAAGAAGTGAGTTGAGGTGGATGGTTGGTTCAGGATGCAGCAAAAAGAATGATACCCCCTCCTTCCAGTCTGGTAAGGGTTTAGAGTTGAGGATATGACAATGCGAGTAGGTGAATCTGGTCATGGGCTATGGAATTGGTGACGGGATGGCGGTATCGGTGGTTGGTCAGGCATTCGGGTGCCTTCACCGAAGCCAGTCGGTGAGCATCGGTGAAGACGCCACCCCCGGCCCCCTGCAGTTCGGGTAACCCCACACGCATTGGCTCCGATTTCGACGACCTCACCACACGACAGCTCCGTTTGCCATCTTTCTCCTCCCGCCATCCACAGCACAGCTGTCGTCGAAACGCGTCCTCGACCCAGCGAAACTACAGCCCAACCCGACTTACTGCCACGATTCCTCCCGTCGAGTCGTCCATTCTACGCGTACCTTAGCCCCTCGCCGATCGGATCAGAGTTCCCACCTTGGCCCCGCGACGCAAGCTGCCTTGACGGAAGCGAGGAGAGAAGACCCTAATCGATTTTACGTACCGACCGAACATACATCCACAAACAAATTGCACCGATGGCCTCGTCATCCGCAGCGGCGGCCTCGTTGCTGCGCCGCCAGCTCAAGGAGATGCAGACGGGGAAGGACATCCCCGGCATCTCATGCGGTCTGGTCAATGACAACAACATCTTCGAGTGGGAGGTCATGCTCATGATCAGCGACGACTGCAAGTACTACGGTGGTACGTCTTCCTCTGGCCCTTTCTCCCAAACACTGCTGACGCATCCCGCCCCAACAGGAGGAAACTTCCGCGCCCGCCTCACCTTCCCGCAGACCTACCCCCTGATGCCGCCGTCCCTCACCTTCCAGACCCCAATCCCGTTCCACCCGAATATCTACTCGGACGGCCGGCTGTGCATCTCGATCCTGCACCCGCCGGAGGAGGACCAGTACGGCTACGAGGCGGCCTCAGAGCGGTGGAGCCCCGTGCAGAGCCCCGAGACTATTCTGCTGAGCACAATCAGTCTGTTCCACGGGCCCAACGACGAGTCGCCGGCCAATGTTGAGGCTGCGCGCATGTTTCGTGAGGAGAGGGAGGGCAAGAATAAGGATTTCCGCAGGAGGTGTCGGGCTTGTGTGCGGGAGAGTCTGGGTGAGGACTGAAGGCTAGCGGATGAGATTGCTGGTTCGGGAGGGTTTCCAAGGGTGATGAAGAAACACGGCTGCATCGTGGCGTTTGGTGAGGGTGAAAGCATTTTACGAGCTGGGTTGGTATTCAAATTGATGCGTATCTTGGTGCTTTTGACCAGCTGTGATCTGATCAAAGTGGCCTCGTAAGGATTACATAGCCCATCCTCAGGTTCATGGTCATGGAGAGTCCCATCATATTGAGTGAATGTTTTGTTTAGTACGGCATGCAACTCAAGGATGCAGTAAATGCTGCAAAGGCCATTCTTACTCGAGGATTACTAAGTGCGCCCGTAGAGTGAGTAGTTTGTCCCCCAACTCACGAGATATGGTTTTAACTAAGAAGACCGCTCAGATCAAGGTAATGCCACGCGATCTGCATTCCACAACTTTCTGAAATCAAGCCAAATGAACGGCTAACTTGAGTATTTACACACGAGTGACCATCCATATCGGAGGGCACATTAAATAAAAAGCAAACAAACACAACTTCTCTACAAGTAACATTGGCCCCCCCCCTCTATGTTTTCTTTCTACGCTTACGGCGGGCAGGCTTTTTCCCCTTCTTCTTCGACTGTCTTTGATCGGCGGACGTATCTGATGGGAACAATGACTCAAGTGCTCTAATTTTATCCTCGGGAAAGGTCTTGGTTTCCCTCAGATACTGCATCACGTCGACATCTCTTTGGCCAGGTATGAATGCCAATCTCGCCGCCCCATTCTTGACCATTATCTCACAAGCTTCGTATCCGTTTCGTGGCCTCAACTCGTGGGCCGAACTTGAGAGCCCGGTGAAAAAGGTTTCCCAAACGCTGAGCAAACGGGGAGAACTCCCGCTATTTTGGGGTCGAACAATGTGTTTCCTGAATCCGTCGATCTGGAGTACTTTGTTCAGCAACTCCAAGTCGACAAAATCCGACATGACTTCCCGAGGACGGTCGCCAACTTCAATGTACCCTGAGCCTTTAAGGATATATCGTAGGATAGAATCGCTCTTTCGGTCCTCGTAGTATTTGATGTAATTGGCATGATGATCGCTCCGTTCGTATTGATATTTTTGAGTAAGTATGCGTGCCTGAGAAGTTGCTAGCAATCGAAAAAGTCCATCCACATTGACATCCTTACGTCCCAGGAGGAGTTCTGTTCCAGTGTTGAGGACTTTTATGAGCTCTTCGCATCGACGAAACAGCATATAGCCATCATTGTAAGCCAGGTCGTCGGTCCAAGAACTCGTCTCTTGGAGAATGTAGAGAAACCATCGTATGAAGTCCGTATTGATGTTTTTGTGGATCGTGGTGGCCGAAAGAACACAGAGGCAAGATCTCGCTAAGAAGTATCGATCAAGATATATTCGTTCATCAATTGCCAGCCAATTTTCTTTCTGTTGCAGAAACTCAACCACCGTTCGGTGGAGAAAGCCCAGTCGAATGTTGGTGTGATGATAGGGGAGGTCAGAGTTGGTGACTTGCCATGCCTGGACCAGATCACGACAATGTGATAGCAGTTTTTCTTTGTACCGAAGGAGACTTCTCGTGCCCCCATCAAATTCATTGGAGAGGTTGATCTCGTCGATGATACCTGGATCACCAGTCTGTAGCTCGCCATGGTGAAGTGACCGCTGGGTGTTGATTGTGTTGGCAGTTTCTCGCAGCGTCTCACGCCGGGAACTCCGGGTGCTCGAGCTCTTGGTCTCCATCTCCAGAACCAAATTGGAGTTTCGAGCCCTGAACAATATTAGAGGCAATGGTGCATTGGCCATCAGCAACATCGAGAAGACCCTGACCACCTCAGTCTTGTACACGTCTTCAATAGATTCGACCATCCTCTTGAAGAAAGGTTCAAGACCCCGGGGAAATTCAGAGACTCTTCTTTGCAGAAGTTCGAGCCCATCGTTGTTATCGAGGCCTCGAAGAAGTGATTTCACAACCAGAGAAACCCAAAAGAACACTCCTTCAGCTTTCGTTGAGATAGAATCGATCAGCAATTCTCCTTGCTGTTGATGTGATGACTGAAGCGTCTTAAATCGTTCGTTCTGTTCTAAAGTGTTTTGAACGTAGAGTCGCATATCCTCGGTTGTGAGACTGTGCATCTCAATTTGACCGTATGCATTGCTGAACGCGTTGTGGAACTCCTGCCAGGGTCTACTGGCACAGCAGACCTTAATCTCGGGCGACTTCGTGATAGTCTGCAGGAATGTCGTTACATCGGTAACCTGGCCACTGTACTCATCAAGCCCATCGACTAGGATGAGGATGCGGTAGGGAAATGTCTTGAGGGTTTGAACATGTTCAAATGCTGCATAAAGATCTTCTAGGCTCCATGATTCCAGGTAATGGAATTGTTCCGAGACGCGATCCGGTAATACTTTGCTGATGACATCCGGGGCGTTGGATAGAATCTGGAACAACAATGTTCTCAGCAAGCCTTCTAGGGATTTCTGTAGTTTAGTTCCCCCAAACCAAAAGAAGTGGCTAGCGATGAAGAGTGGCTTAGGATTCGCCCACGCCATTGCCAGACGTTTCGTCGTCTCGTGGCCTGAGATGAATTTCATCAATGTCGACTTTCCAGAACCAGGTTTGCCTGTGACCCAAAAGATGCCGCTTGACCCTTTGAGCCAGTTCGCGAAGTTTCTTGGGTCACTCTCGTGAAAGATCCAAGTGAATGTGTCCTTGTGTGCTTTTGGGATCTCGTTCTGCCGTTCCTTGATTTGTGTGAAATGAAGACTTTCGAGGATAGCTCTAGTGATGCCGTGGCTTTTGGCTTCCTCAGCGAATGCTGTCAGGGCTTGAGCCAATTCATTTACTCCGCCAGATTCTGACTTTGACTCCCACTTCAGAAGGTCCTTTACCTGCTGGGCCATGACATCCAATTTCTGTTCTGTGACCCTATTCCATGCCTTGGACGCTTGTCCCCAGGCGTCCACAGATATCGCGAGGGAACGATGATGTTCGCTAGATAACCATGAGTTCAGACTACTGACTTATTGTCATATCGGAGACACGCCATACGTACTAGAAAAGCCCTTGAAGCCTGAAACAGATCTGCGCCCTGATGTCGACCAAATCGGCTTGGAGGCCTTCTATCGTGTTACGTTTCCAATAAGAAATGATTGAAATCTTAACCTTGGTCAATCTTCGGTGGCGCTGGGAGTCAGGGACCCTCAAACGGTCAACTTCGGTACTCAATTTCGTCGCTGCATTGATGCACCTTGCCAACAGCGGGGCCAAATCATCGTCCTTCACTAAAGCCTTGTCTTTCTTCAGCCTCAAGCAATGCTCCTCGAAATCGGAGCATGTGAGGGCGATTTCCGCGTTGCGCTGAGCTAGTCCATCAATATCAACATCGCGGTACGTCGCGATGATGGTCTGTGTGGCTTTAAAACCAAGTTCGAGAAATTGAAAGATGCTGGCCGCGATGCCGAGCGCTGCGAAGGCCTCGGCCATGACGGAACCGATAAAATGGATGGCTAACGCTTTTGACTAGCAAACAAATGTCGTGCTTTTCCCGTGAGATACGAAGATGTCTAGACGAAGAGAATTATGTTAATCAATAGGAGAACGAATGGTGTGGAGAAACAGAGCCTGATGATATCTGCGCAGCCCGATTGCGCAGTCAAATACATCAGCTGACAAGCGTTCCTGTGCCACACAACCCCTAGGTGGCTTTCGAATTTCACCATGTAACCATTGGCTCGCTTATGTGCCTGATGCTAATGTACATTGGTACAAGACGCCCCAGGTTCACATTGGAGCCAAGGAAAATCCTGCCCCCAACGATCAATATCCACCCGACTGCAGATTCCGTATTCTAGTTAAGACACTGTAGAAGGCCCGAGAAGCAACCATACCGATGCATAAATTTCCTCGCTCATGCGTTATATCGTTTCCTTAGTCGCGTAGCTCCTGAAGGCATTGTCGTTCACGTATGATGGCCGGGTTTATGGATCCTTTCTGGGTGGATTTATCCTACACGTCCTGTACCCCAGTCCACTGGCGGGGGATGGGATGTTCGCGGACTCGTGGAAAAATCCCAGCTATCATTAGCAGATTCAATGGGCTTATCAACTGGGTGGCCAAGGTTGTCGTCTGGCCAACGCTACGAAGAGATCGCCAACGTAAGTGGGGAACATCTCTGCTGCATAGAATCGGAGTGAATGTGGCTTCCAAATATTTGACAGCTTTGTTGGATATGAAATCTGACCAGAGTAAGGGATTGTGTTAAATATCACTGATGCTGCGCCGCAAATCTTCAATGAGTTCAAGAAAGAGTGGAAATTTAATAATGTAAAATCCCCATTGCGGAATGAAGGAATCCCCTTCAGAAAGTCACACACGCCACCAAGCCCACGTACAATTCTTTAAGACAGATGTAACAACTCCTTAGCTGTCTATCCCTGACCCATCCTTGAACAGATACACGGTATCTTCTCTTGCCCTCTTCAGGATCCTTTCAAGTCGATCGCACAGTAGCCCCGCTTCGATTCTTTCCTCGACCTTGACCTTGATCATATCGTTCTCAATAATATCTAGCAAATGCCCAAATGCCGTGTCTTCGCCACATTTTGCAAGACTCCTCAGATCTCTGAACGCTTTTTGTACTTCATGAAGTACGACTGGCTCATTCTCGACTTTCTCATAAAAGTAAGCTTCATCACCCGGTGTCTTTGCCTTCCTAACGGCATCAAAAGTCTTAACGGCTGTATTCCTGCGTGCGATCCACAAGGTAAACTCCAAGAAGATACATCCAAGTGACCAGATGTCATATTTACGAGATCTTGTCTTTGAAGAATCTCCTTCGGGGGCTTGGTAAGCAGGAGTCGTTGCTTTAGTTGTCGTTGGGTCGTTTCTCTGCAATGTTCCCAGAACATGAACCTTGGAAATGCCAAAGTCAGCGACTTTCAAGATGCCGTAGCCTCTGGTTTTGAAATGAAGAATATTTCCAGGCTTCAGGTCTCCGTGGCGACAGTTTTCCTGGTCTCTCATCTCGTCATGAAGAGCCTGGAGGGCCTCAGCGAGGCCAAGCATCTGTTCTAGACCCCATAGCGCAAGTTCTGGCGATCTCTCTTCGACGTCCATATTCTCCCATACATCGACAAGATCCCCGCCATCTGCCCAGGGAAATATGATATAGTTCTTGTTCCCTTGCCTGAAGGAGTCAAGCTTCTGCGTGATGTGCTTCGCGTGCTCTAAATCACGTATCTTATCGAGGTTGTTGAACTCCTGTTGAAAATCCTGCTTGTACTTGAACTCTTTAAGTGCCACTTTGAGTCTTGGGGTTTCATTCTGTCAACCATATCAGCCATTCAGAACTGATAAAGCATTCGCGAAAGAATTCAACTCACCTCAAATCCCTTTTGGTGAGAAGGGTGAACCATAGCCTTGAATACAACATTGTTGTTTGTGCCTTTCACCTCGTCTACGGACGAGAAAGGAAGAGGGCACATTGGATCGATGGTTTGATGATTGCCTGTGGTACTGAAGACAGGCGCCAAAAATAGCCACTGTTTGTCGACGAACACGTCCAGCTTTGGTAGCTCCCAATCGGCAGGCCAGTCGAGCCGCTTGCTGCCACTCTTCTCGCATGTTAAGGAATTACCATTCTTGGTCAATGGAAGATCATGATCTGTAAAATGGGCGTCGAGGAGAAGCTTGACGCCCCAAGGCTGGCTGAGATACACGCAGGTGGCAAACAACTTTCGTCCCTTTTCCATAACTCTCTCGGCTAGCTTTACCCTAGCTTGTCGTTTTGCTCGAAACAAGGAAAGCATTCCTCGCTTTTGTGTCAGTCGAAGCTCTTTTTCGACGGTCTCTTTGGTAACGAGTTGCTCGAGCTCGCTCGTTGCAATGTATCTGCGGTTTCCCAGTTTATCTTCGCTATAGGCCTCGCCTAACCTTGCAAATAAATCCATGGGTAAGAAACCTGCCTTTGTTGTATCTTAAGATTTGGACAATGAGAGTTGGTGCAAGACCTTGTTGTAAGCCAAGTGTGCCAATTTTGTTCGGATTCAAACAAATTATTTGCCACTGGTAAATTGACCGAACGCATTGCTCTTATAAAACTCCGAAAAATGGCTACATGATTAATGTTCGGGAGCTGGATTACGCGCTTCACTGATACTTACCTGCCACAGCCTCGTCGGCAAGAAATCTTCCCAGAATGGCGTGGTATCGTGCGGTAAATGCCTCACCATACCACCAGGCTGGGTTATGCAAGTAACTTGTGAAAGAAATGGTGGCTGCGTCGTTGGGCCATGTGACAGTCATTATGTGGGCAGTGTTCTGCATACTTGGGAACTCAAACATGCGTCCCCGCAGCCTGCGTGGTGACTAGGTTGGTATACCGACAGCCCCGAAATTCCACGTAGTGGTTGCATTATGCATGATCAACCATTCAAACTCCGCATATGCAGCACACCAAGTGGAAGTCCGCATGATGCATGCAATAATTCTCACATGGTGCATAATGGCTATATGCGATGCTATCGACCTAATACGTTCCCAAGCAGCTGCATCAATCGTTGGCAGCCATATTTCATAGAGCGTTCCCCCCAAAATAAAGCTACGATAGGCCGCCTCGTTTTTATACTGGACACAGTTTGTTGGCGCCATAAGTCCTGTGCAGAAAAGATACCGGCTAAATGGGCCAATGGCAGTGGGTGCATCAGTTGACCTGCGGTTGCTTCGCAAAAGGAGAGGAGCAAGTCATACCAAGCAGCGGGCCTCAGCCTGGGGAGGTCGGTCTGTCACAGACAATATCCTTCCGAAGGACCCCAACAATAAGCTCCCGGTCTCCAACATTGGTCACAAATCTTAGCCGTATCAAAACAGCCTCTTCGAATAGTACAGCTGGCGGGCCCAATCAGCGCAGTCTTTCCTGGTCTCAACGGGTATCTGGTCGCAAGATTAGACCCCAGATATCCGGCACAATGTCAGACAGCTCACCACAAGGCAGGATATTCGCAGCGACCGTCCAAACGACGTACGAACAGAGTGAGGGACCGAGATCAGAACCACAAGGTAACCTGGAGAACGAGGACTCTGAGCTGGAAGATGACGACTCAGAGCGTGTATCACCACCATGGATTCCATTATCCGAGGTCAAACACGTGATAAGCGCAGCAGAAGATGAGCTGAAGACACTTCAGCTCTCACGAGTTGATCCCGATAGATTGCAAACATTCATCAGCAAGGCACAGCGGCTGTGTGCTCTTCTCATCCATATCGACCGCCTACATTGGATCGAGGCCTTCTGCGAGCAGAATTTTGGAGATGCGATATTTCCAGTCAAAATTGTGCAGAAGAACAAAAACACATGTACAGTGCGGCGATTGAAGACCAAAGCAACCTTGTCTGAGGCATCAGTCGACATACACATTGCAAAGCCAGATGATAGAACAATCATTCATACGATTGAAGATCCCCATCAGTGGTTTTTCTTCCCTCCCGTATTTGCGAAAAGCGGCTCTCCCTATACCTTCGACCCCCGATGCAGGCTGCCATTCCTGAAGGAAATCACCCACAGAGCAACAAATTTCAGTGCGGTGACTGAACGTGTCATTCACAAAAGTCACCTGGATTTTCCGAAGTTCCCAAATGATGACCAAATTGTAGGTTATCTATAGTCATGTGCCTTTTGAGTGGGGAGCAAGTAAAAGCTGAATGTTCTACAGGGTACTGTGGTCGATGATGATGGAAATCCTCATGTCGCTGTGAAGGAACTTACCTCGGAAAAGTGGTTCGGGCCGCGATTCAAGGAAGTTGTCAAAAACGAGGAGGCAGTTCTGGTCCACTTTCAAGAGAAAAAGCACGACCACTTCATCAAGGCCATTGCCAGATACACCCAATCCCGAAAACATTACTTTGTTTTCCCGTGGGCGAAAGGCGGAAATCTTCACGACTTCTGGGAGAAGCAACCTAGCTTGAGCGACGACTGCCTCAATTTCAGTCGCGAAACCTGGAACACCTTCATCAAATGGTTCTTTCGGCAAATTCTTGGTATTTCTGGCGCCATGAAGAGCCTTCATTTCCCGGTCAACAATCCTGGTGGCTCATGCCGCCATGGCGACCTCAAGCCCGAGAACATACTTTGCTTTTGCGATGTCGTACCTGGCCCAGGTCAGGTACCAACTAACGTAAAGCTGGTGATTGCCGACGCAGGGCATGCGAAAATCCACGAGAAAGCAACAGAATTTCGGCCTGACCCGACGAGAACCCCGCGTGGGACACAACGATATACTCCTCCAGAGGCTAACAACCCAGGCGAGACCAAGAAGCCCACATCACGACGATACGATATCTGGTCTCTCGGATGTATGTATCTTGAGTTCCTCGTCTGGATTCTATATGGGTACAAGGGACTACTCGATTTCTATAACGACGTTGGTAATGAGTTCTTTTCCACCACTGGAGCAAACGTTCAAGTGAAATCTCAAGTTCAGGACTGGATCGACGCCATCAAGATTGATCCAAGATGCGCGCCTTTCACATCAACCGCAGTTGGGAGATTGGTCCACCTCATCGAAACCAGGTTATTAGTCGTCAATACCGAGGTCGAACCCACAGAGAACACTGATTTCCAAGAAGTCATGGATCTCGGAACGATGGGAACTGGCCCCAAATTAATCATTCGGCCGCCGACTATTAAGATCAACCCTGAGCCGACACTGACAAGAGCTGATGCAAAAGAGATGGTAGAAGAGATGGAAACCATTGAAGCCGCAGCGGATAAAGGTTCCATTGAGTGGATTAACTGGGATGGCATGGAACAAGCATCCAAACTGGGAACACCGCAAGCATCCGATACCCTTCTTTCCGACAAGCAATTGAAGACAGGCAAACAGCGGCGCCATAGCTTATCAGTGGTTTGGAACTTCCTGTCATTGCACTCATAGACGCTCACTAATACCAACTACAGACTCAGAAAAGTGAGGTAGGGACCTCTCCAAGTATATCCTCACGTTTGAGGTAATTTCGTTCTTGCTTCGTTGTTTCTGGGACTGACGTGATCCATGTGACGTTAAAAGAGAGTAAGTTACTTCTATCCCTGGTGTATGACCGGTGCCCCGCTATATATTGACGTCGAATTCAGTACGTACGTAACAGCCCCTAGAATGCAGCAGAGTGGGGCTAGGCTTACAACTACTCGTGGGTTTCTTGCAGATGGTAATTGTTGATTTCTCCTGACCCTTGGATTGACGTTGCTAATGTCGCTTTCTCTTATGGTATCAAAGTTTGTATGTGATATTACTCCTGTCTTTACTTTCACAGGCTTCAAGCTGATCAGCACTCATTCAGACGGTTGGTTACAGTCCCTCATGATCCATGGAATTAAGGCTGAACACCATAAACTGATATTGTTTGGATTCGTCAATAGCCGGTAAAAAACCCCTCATGGTTTTGATGAGATCAGGATGCTAAAAGTCTGTAAATGACTAGCTTGACAACAGCTGGAAGTACACTGCAGATAGCAGCCTTGCCAGCTACATCGTCCGTCAAACTCCAAACACAATCCGACACCAGCACTTGATTTCCAAACTCTGCGAATATTGCGAGCACTATCGACTTTGGCTGCCTGACTACAGATTCTCTGTGAAGCTGCTTGACCTTGTGAGGAGGTCTGACCGGTGCAGCTTCTGCCGACTTTTACACAGATGCATGAAAGATCGAGCAGTGCTCAGCCGGGATATCATCACGTTTTTGAGATCAGACTCACGCTCAGCGCTGACCTTCCATGAGAAACACCTTCGCCCAGTATTCTCCCTGTGTACTACAATTAGTAAGTGGACTCTCGTATGACTGTTTAGAGCCTTTATGTGTGTCGGTCTGTTCAGCTGGGGAAAGGTCGAACCCTGCTGATTGATAAAGGCTCAAAGCAGCTCGCAGAAAATGACGTCCATATGGGTTTTCCTACTCTGTTGCCTCCAGGCAGCGACACGCACATCAAAATACTTGCGGAATGGCTCAGTATCTGCGATAAGAAGCATAAACACCACCAATCTGGAGGCGATTTTGTCCCGTCTCGGCTTTTGGACCTTGGATACAAGAAGTGCAAGAAAGTGCGGCTCGCGTCCAGTTTCACGGACAAGACCTCTATGCGCTATGCAGCCTTGTCACATAGGTGGGGCTCCCCGAACGAAGCAAGACCGGAGAGTGTGACGTTCCCTGTCACAACATGTGAGAATCGACACCTCATTGAGAGCCCCCAGGGAGTAGATGATATTGTACTGCCCCAAACCTTCCAGGATGCCGTTTGTATTACCAGAAGCCTCGGTATACGGTATCTTTGGATCGATTCCTTATGCATACTTCAGAAGACTGGGAAAAGCCACGATTCAGAACATGCGGAAGACTGGAGAAGAGAGTCACAACGCATGGAAAAGGTTTTCAGTTCCGCATACTTCACGATTGCGGCTAGCTGCGCAGATCATATGTTTGATGGGTTTTTAAAGACACGAAGCCCAAGAGATATTGTCACCATGACTACGAATGATGGTGAAAAGTTTCATGTGTGCGAAAATATCGACGATTTTGATCATGACGTTGAACAAGGTGAATTGAACAAGAGGGGTTGGGTGTTACAAGAACGCGCTCTATCACGTCGAACGCTTCACTTCACGAAGGGTCAGACATACTGGGAGTGCGGCGAGGGCATAAGATGCGAGACGTTCACTCAGACCGCGAAGTAAGTTATCCAAGATGATGAAGGAGTCAATATAGTAACAACTATGTCACACAGTCGTAAAGCAGCCTTTCTTGGTGACTCGGACTTTCCTAATGCTGTTAAGTCCGATAAGCAAGGGAGACAACTGAAGCTTTACCATGAGTTTTACGAAAGATACTCCTCCTTGGACCTTTCCAACAGAACGGATAGGCCGATGGCAATTGCAGGGCTTGAGAAAAGACTGATATCAGCCTTGTGCTCTCCGGGAGGCTACGGTATCATGCACTTGAACTTTCCCAGGGACCTTTTGTGGCAACGTCAGGACCAGAATCGTTCCTTAGAGCGCGTGACGTTTGATCATTCGTCTAGAGTACCGTCATGGTCATGGATGGCTTTTCATGGAGAGATAAGATATATGAACGTTCCATTGGGAGACGTTATTTGGGAAGAACGTATTATTTCTCCTTTCCAGCTCAGCGACTTGGCCACAGACACAGGTTACGATACTCAGCATCCGCATGAGTTCAATGCCCCGATATCGGTGCTGACGAGGGAAAGAGAACCTGATACGACTATAGACAGACCGAGACTGCTGATACAAGACGATATGACCTTTTCGCTTCAAGAACCAATCAAGTGTATCGTCGTCGCAAGAGGCAAGAGGAACCTACAGCTGTACGCTATTCTCGTGCACCTGGTTAAGGAAGAGGATGGAGTTCAGATTTTCGAGAGGTCTGGCGTGGCGTATCTAACGAAGAACGACATCGCAGTTGGAACCAGCGCAGAGGACCCTTGTATAGGAAGGATTCAATAAGAATGGGCAAAACCGTTAGTTGGGGAGGGGGTACCTAGCGGTTCGACATCAGAATGTTCAAGATCCGGGGAGAGAAACTTTCAACAAGCCGTCTCCCATGATTGTTTCGGTTATATCATTGGGAAATAGTGGTTTAAAATCCAGCAACTACAGATTGATCACAGTAGCTCATTTCCCTTATCTTTCTAGCTGCAGAGTGCTGTATCGCTTTGTGCAGAATTCCTGTGTAGATTCAAGTATGACCAGGGATACATGATTGGGATACTTTAAGCAACACGTGCTTAGAACCTCATTTGTAGTATGGATCCATGCCCCTGCCCGTGTCTTGTTTGTACACTACGGTTTAAGCTGACTCGATGCTACTTTTGGTTCATTATTACGATCTTGATGTTCTTCCTCCCGTGCTGCGACTCGAATGCCTGTGCAGCCTCGGTCAGAGGGTACGTTGATGTAACTAACGGCTTGAGATCGACGAGCTTTCTCTCCAGAAGACTGATCGCGTCTGCAAAACAGCCCGGAGTATATCGCACAGTGCCTGTCTCATTATGAGAATAGTTTCAACGGCAGCAAAGGGTCATGACTTACCCTTGATATTGATCTCCTTGGCCGTGACCAAGAAAAGCGGAACCGAAGTGAGCGGTTTACCTAACCCAGCTTGAATGCAAGTTCCACCCGATTTTACCATCGCGACTGCCATTTGAGTACAGGCCTCTGCTCCGCTGGCCTCAACTGTGACGTCAAAACCGTTGCCAAGGTCGTGTTTGGAGTTGAGTTCTTTGGCATATTGCTGATAGAATGAGAGGGGATCTACAGATGGGTCTTCGTTCTTCGGAGGGACAATACCGACGGTTGCGCCGTACGTCTCTGCAAATTGCGTCCGAGATGATTCAATGTCAAACATTATGACCTTCTTGACACCGTATGCCTTTGCAACAGCAAGTACTAGGAGACCCAAAGGACCACATCCACTGAAAGAGAAAAGCGTCAGCATTGCCGGTCATCTTGTATACATGTAGAAGACCATACAATATAGCCATTGTTTGGTGAGCATTTAGAGAGGCTCTCCTGGCGAGTTGAACCGCAATGGCGAGCGGTTGGATCGCGCCCGCCTCCTCCCAGGAGATTGAGTCCGGGATGGGAACCGTCATTGAGGCCGTGCAGGTGAAGTACTGGCAAAGTGTGCCATCGGTGGGGTCGAGGCCGCAGTACTTCAAGTTCGCGCAGATGTTTGGGTTGCCCTTGACACAAAACTCGCAACTATTTCAACTATCGTCAACACTCTTCGTAATTGAAATTTAAGACAGATGAAGCCTGAAGCCATACTTCATGCACGCGAAACCCGGCTCTACAGCCACTCTCTGTCCGACAAACCGGTCCTTGACACTCTTTCCGGTTTGGATGATGACACCCGAAGACTCATGCCCAAGGACGAGTTGGCGAGATACCTTGTCGCTTTCCCAGTTGTGGCAGTCTGAACCGCAGATACCTGTCGCAACGATTTCCACGAGCACTTCATTGTCGCCTGGTGGGCGTACAGGACGTTCTTGAATCTCTAGTTTCTTAGGTCCAACCCAGACCACGGCCTTGTTGGATGTGGGAAGGCTTGTCTCCGTCATTCTTTCAGGTGATTCACTCTAAAATCAGAATGATGAAGCCTTTCCTTCGTTGCGGTCCGTTGCTTGACGATGGGAATGAGGGTCTAGATGACGAAAAGAAGGGATGGCACTCAGATCGAGGTGGAAAATGGTTGGTCGAGCCTGGAAAAGCCCAACGACAGGGGGCCTTTGCTGATCTGTAGATTGCGGCTGAACTACTCTCTGAGAGCGGGATAAATCTTCACGCCTTCAACGTAGACCCGTCTTCCTGTCAACATATAACTTCCCCTCGCCTTCGGCATGGATCCCGGGCCGAAAGTCGGTACGGAGCTCGGCGCTGCGGTACGGCTCCCGGGCCGCGAGGGATGCAATTAGTCAGCTGAAGGCTCCTTGGCTTCATATGCCCGGCTATTCTCCGTGCCCGACAATCGAAGTCTTGTTGAGATGTGTTGTGCGACGCGAGATAGCCCAGGTGTTGATGTGAGGACCCTTGCTCCGAGATATGAGGGGTAGCGTACCAGGCAAACATTACCCATTCTGCCGCTACATCGAAAGGTTGGATGCAGATAGCAAGCAGAGTCTGGGCATCAACCTGCGATAACGCATCAGTCAGATATCATACCCAGCAAACGTCTAGGAACTGAAGTTTACCGTTCATCTCTTTAAGAGGCTAGAGCTCGCCGCCCTCTGTGACCTTGTCCATCAATTTCATGTTTGCTGCCGTGGTTTCAAGGTCAAATTTCGTACCAGAATGGCTTCCAATCCAAAGCAACCAAGCCTCAGGGCGACTACTTCTACCATGATCCCAAACTGGGACCCAGCTACAGAGAAAGCTCTCGTACGAAAGATCGACCTACGCATCTTCCCCGTCATGATCATTCTCTTCATCCTCAATTTCATCGACCGCAACAACTTCGCCAACGCCCGCCTCAGCGGCCTCGAAAAGGACCTCAAGCTCACTGACGTCCAGTACCAGACCTGCATCTCCGTGCTCCTCAGCGGTTACGTCGCGATGCAGATCCCCTCCAACATGATTCTGAACAAGCTTAAGCGACCAAGCTGGTATCTATGCGGCTGCGTCGCCGTCTGGGGCGTCATATCGGCGGCAACCGGTGCTGTGAGAGGCTTCTCCAGTGCTGTGGTCTGCCGTTTTCTTTTGGGTTGCGTCGAAGCCAGCTTCTTCCCCGGGAGTTTGCTATTCCTGTCGCGTTGGTACAATCGAAGAGAAATGCAGCTCCGTGTGACAATTTTGAACAGCGGAAACCTGGCGGCGCAAGGGTTCGGTGGACTGATCGCTGCTGGAATTCTCGCTGACATGGAAGGTGCCGCTGGATTACGCGCCTGGAGGTGGCTGTTCATCGTCGAAGGTGCTGTCACCGTTGCCCTCGCTGGGGTCGCACTCTTCATTCTTCCGGACTACCCCAAGACAACGAGTTGGTTAACGGAAGAAGAGAGGCGAGTGGCGCAGGATCGTCTGGCGCTTGATGAGGGGTTGGCTGGAGGATCTGCTGAAGATGAAGATGTTACCGCCATGCAAGGACTAATCATGGCGTGCAAGGATGTCAAGGTGTGGCTTTTGGGGCTGGCATACCATGCGACAATCATGGGTTTAAGCGTAAGTTCGACTTTCTTAGCCATGGGATGTTTTCTTGACTTCAGAAAATGCTGATCATGGTCCCTGTGCAGTTTGTCTTCTTCTTTCCGACCATCACGCAAGGACTTGGGTACGGCCAAACAGTGACACTGCTGCTGACAGCGCCACCTTGGATTTTCGCTGTATTGGTGTCGCTGCCAAATGCCTGGCATGCTGACAAGACGGGAGAACGATTCTTCCACTACTTTGTACCGCTCTTGATGTGTATGGTCGGATACATCATATCTGCCACGACGACGACCACGGCCCCGCGTTATGTCTCTTTGTTTCTCATGACCGGTGGGTTTCTGATCTTTATGCTATGCTGAAGGTAGAGCGACTAACAAAACCTCTTACTCAGTGGGATTTGCATCCGGATTCGTCATTCTTGCTTGGATATCCAACACGATACCCCGCCCAGCAGCCAAGAAAGCCGCCGCGATCGCAATGGTCAACGCCATGGGCAATATCGGTAGCATTCCCGGTTCATACATTTGGCCGGCTAAATATGGCCCGTACTACGTTGAATCGTTTGGTGCAGAGATCGCATTGCTTGGCTTCGCTGCGATTGCTGCTCTTGGGCTACGGTTCTACCTCCGTGCGCAGAACAAGAAGCTTGATCGTGAAGAGGCAATGCAAGACTCTGTTGAGGCTGGTGCCAAGGACTTTGTGGGATATGATGGCATGACTGAGGTCAAGAGCTTTCGTTATTTGTATTAGGACGAATGTAGTTTGATGGCAAGAGCGAGCACAAACCTTTGTGCGTGCGTCTTAGTCGGGTAATCTCTAGAAAGAACTTAAACATATGTTGGAATGAGAAAGCTGTTGCGACAACTTTATCACTCTGGGCTATTAAAACTTCCCTCTGATCTGCCAAGCTCCGTAACGTCTGCTATCAATACCGAAAGCTGCAACGAGCCAGAAAACATCGGCGATTGGTCATTTCTTCCACGTGCAGTACATATCTACTGCCGATATCTACTGCTGATAACGGGGCATTTTGGACAAACTCGGCGAAGGCTCCCCATGCCGGACAATTCCTATCGTACTGCCCATTGCCCAGTAAAAGGTGCAGCTTATCTGCCGCTCATCCAGCTCCCGATCGAACCAACAAGGGCCTTTAAAGGCACAGTTACCCCCTACGGACCCCTTTCCAACAACCGTCGGCCCGAGGTCCGTACCGCAGGCCAAGAGATGCACGACACCCACAATCGTGACTTTCATTGGATACGTGACATGCTGACTGGTTTCCTCCTCAAGCTCTACGTATAGATAGTACAAAGCTCAGGTTATTGAAGTTGAAGGAAGCCTGGTCTTGAAGACGAAAACTGACAATTATTGGATTTTTAAAAGACATACCACTCAAGAACATTCGCGCAGAAAATATTGGGCAGCATGAGGAGAATCAAGTTCCTATAAAATAAATTCCCATTTGCCCGACTTGAAGACTCGAGAGATCCTCTTGAGCCGCACATTGACCTGGGCATGAACAGGATGACATGTCTGGATCCGAATTTAAAAGACTGCCCACAGCCTTAACTTAGATCTCAATAAAGCCTGGCTAGTCAATTGCAATCCGTGATATGGCTTATGGTCCTGGATCTTAGGACATAGCGAATGGTTTTCTTAGTTTTATTTACCCTTTTCAATTCAATGCTGAAGAAATCGATGGATGCCAGGAAGCTTTCTATGCGACCGGGAGAAGCCCCACAATGCTCATGAGAACACGCCCTTTGGCACAGGTTACCCCACATGGGCGCGCCTTTCGAAATGATAACTTTGTGTTGAACTTGACAACAGCGGAATTCAGGGAAGTCTCCGAATCACGCACTTTTTTATTCCAAAATACTAATGTCGCAATGATTTCCTGTGTTGGGAAAACTACTTAGGCAGACACAACGTACCAGAAAGCCACGTTTTGCGACACCACGCCGAACATGGAACCTAATACCTCAGAACTCGTTAAACTCCGAAACCACCGCCCAGGCGACATGAGCTACATCGCCCACCGTCACGCAGTGGTCTATTATGCGGACTACGGTTTCGAAACCCTGTTCGAGTCGCATATGTCTAGATATACCGCTCATTTTCTCGACAATTTTGACCCGGCGTCAGAACGTTGCTGGATCGCCGAGAGAGAGGGGCAGTTTTTGGGCTGCATCATGCTTACCAAGGACCGAGAGGTGCCAGGGCGTGCGAGGATTAGGTGTTTCTTGGTTGAAAAGACCACCCGAGGTCTCGGTATCGGCACAATGTTGGTCGAAACGTGTCTTGCCTTTGCTAGACAGGCAGGATACGAGCGCGTTGGACTCCAAACGTACAAGGAGCTTAGCGGTGCGAGGCGGCTGTACGCCAAATTTGGGTTTCAAATCATGAAGACGGAGGAAGAGCGTGAGGAATGGGGAAGAAAAAGGGTTTCAGAAATTTGGGAGTTACTCCTGTAAATGTGTCAATTTCGCCGCGGTAGGCAGAACCACCTCTGATTGCAAGAAATTACATTGACCAAACACCACAAAGGATTTCAACTATGCCTATTATCAGGGCTCATAGGGCAAGCCATGCATGATGGACATACCGGCAAGACTTTGAATGTAATATAGTCGGTGGTAATCAACCCATTCTGTCGTCTTCTTCCATTACCTCAAGTTATCAATAGAAGAGCGACATCATGCCCAAGTCAGCCCGACGGACGTCTGCCATGTCTAAGCGTAGTATGCACCAAGTTGAACGATCTTGTTATTCACTAGCCTTATGGTAGTCCTTGAGGCTTCCTTCCTGTGATGAAGCGATAACTTGTGATGAGCCTGTAGTCTTTGCTCCTGAACTCCCTCTTTACACCTTCCATGAGGACTCGTGCCTGGTCCTCACTGAAACCCAATACTCGCGTGAATAGGGCAGGGGTGTGTGATTCAACTGACATCTGCATGTGCGCCAGCTCATAACGACCCAGCTCTTTCAAAGCAGGCTCTTTTGCCCATGGGCCGATAGGTATCTGCAACGGTGTTAACACGAATTCCAACGAACAAGAAAGTGGGCAGGGCTCGACTTGCCCTGTAAACCAGTTCTTGAACATCCTCAAAACCAGCGTCAATCATCCACTGCTTGTGAAACCTCGCAACGTTGATCTGTTTGCCGTATGTCTTACTCGCATCGTCGAGCTTCGTGACCCACTCCTTCGTCCAAATTGCCCGATCGAAGCTGTCGTCGTCACTAAAGATCCAGGCGTCGTACTCTTGCATCTCCACCCATCCACCAGGCTTCAACCCGCCCATGACCCTGTCATAGAATCGCGCCCAATTTGATGATGTGCCGCTTAGCGCACGGCCATGGATGTAGTCGAATTTCTCATCCTCACGATACGTCCAGTCGTCTTCATAGTCGTCGACATGAAACTTGCAATTCGTGGGAACCCACTCAGGCTGGATCGGGGATAAGTCAACGCCAAACACATCCGCTGTGGGAAACTCGTCCGCTAGATCAATCGCCCATATGCCGGTGCCTGTGCCGAGGTCAAGTACCCTCAGCCCCTCAGCTGCCTCACTCGCCGGATCCGGTAGAGGTGCCGTGTAGGTTCGACCACCCAACAGCAGGCGCCAGATATGATGTTGAAGGTCCAGGCGTTCCTGCTCCTGGTCGTCGTTCGGGAGGACATACTGCCCCTCGCGGTACGCGTGATATCGCCGGCCGTTCTCATACTGGTAATGATAGATGGACGATGTGATAGACGACGTGTACGCGGACCCGGCGTCGGAGCCGTAGGCCGAGTCATGGTCATCTCGGCGGATGTCGTTCTGTCCGATAATCACGTCAGCCTGCAAACGTCCTCTTCGGTCTGGCGGAAGTCTGATGTGCGGCGTACGTCAACCTGCAGCGGCGCGACGGCCGCGTTCTCAACAGGATTGAGAAGGAACTGGATACTCGTCGGGCCCGTGTTCCGCGGAGGCGAGGGTGTCCTCGGCGTCACAGTAGTCGCGGGTGTCGGCGATTCAGTCGACGTTGGGTCGGCACTAGGGTGTAGTCGCTGACCCGGGCCCGAGTACCCGGAACTGGAACCACCGGTACTTGAGTGATTCGACGTCATTGGAGCGGTGTCAAAAGATCGGCAGAGTGTTTTTGGCCTGTGCGACGCGCCGTGTTGCTTTTCCAATTCAGTTGCAGCTTCAAACAGCCGCGAAAAGCCTAAAAAGATCGCGGGCGGAAGCGTGGAAAACGAGATCAATCAAAATCATCAGCCCACGTCAGAGTATCATTTGATTCCCCGGTTGCAGAGAAAGGATGAGAGGGAAGGGGGGAAGTGCGGATCGGCCGGGAACCCAGCTTGAAGAATTTCCTGGGAGGAGCCTTGCTCATAAACCCCTGGGCACCCCATCCCTGAGCCGACTTGAAAGCGTGGCAATGAGTCGAAAATATCCCCTAGTCCTCATTCAGCTCAACGTCCGTGCCTCCCCATGTTCAGCTCGCCAGTCGGTGTCCACTAGCGGAACTGTTCCATTGATATGCAATAAAGCAGATCAATATTTGCGAGAAATATCGCTTGGAGACTACCGACCGGAAAGTAAGAATTGAGGGGATCAAGTCTCTGTTGGTGGTAATAGCATAGCGACCTCCGAACAGATCTGACCGGACTGGATTTGTCTCATATCCCTGAAGTTACTCATCTATCCAATTTGATATAAGCAAAGTTTCGATTTCCAGATGCTATGGTTTTCGTTATGTTAATATATTATGTTTTAAGTCATTCAAAGTATGATAAAGTCATGCTTCTGGGACACTATGTGGTCACTGACTCACTCAATGAAGGTCGTCTCATGCGGTAAATCCTCTGGCGTGGTTCATCCGACTTCTTAAATTCTATCGCAACGTGAGACCTTGGACGCTTTGCTCATTTTTCGCGCTAACACAATTAACGATATCGTAAAGGTCGGAATTATATCCGATGTACAATAAGTGAGATTAACTGAGGTCAATCTCTGAAGGCTAGAAACAAGATGTCATAACGTCGTGACTGAGCTCAGAAAAGAGATATCACCTGATTTTCCTCCGTCGGGGATTCTCAGTGTCGCCTGGCCGCCTTCCTCCATTGACCTCATCATCCAGGAAGGCGGCATTTCTATTTTCAAGGTCGTCTCTTCCGCCACATCGTGAAGGTTCTCAGTTCGCGGGGGCATTGCAACACCCACAGCCTTCCAATAATCGTTCAATATCTTCCAGTCCAGCTCCATCCCTACTACCAGATCATCAGCCCACACAGGCTCTGGCTTTACGCCTTGAAAGATAACTTTCAGCTCGAGTCGAAAATAACGCTTCTTCCGATGTCCGAGTACGACTAGAACCTTCCTGCAAAGCCGAGATAAACCTGCGCTGGCAGCGTCGATGGCTCCGTCGCGACCGCCTGGAAATTGGGCCCAGTAGTTCCGTACCGCATCCAGGGCCAACCAACTAAGTTCGAACTCCGTCTTCCAGCCCGACTTTGACGGAGGGTAGTCGATTGTTGGCGGTGCGTCAATGATTGCATACAGCTGAATGTTGTAGACGCCACCACCGCTGTAAACGATGACGTGTTTTGTAATAGATAGTATAACTGGTTTCCAAGTGTTCAAAACTTCCTCTAAACAACGCGACGGTTTTTGAGGCTGCGGGGCTGGACTCTCTGCAGACTACCAAAAATTAGCGCAACTCCGGGCTTGGGCAAGAATCAATTGGTACTCTTACACTAGGCGTCGGAGAATAAAATAGTGCTTTCTTGTCATCGGCATCGCTTTCGCTGGGTAAAACAGTTTCCAAATCGCTTTCAAAATCGGTGTCAAAGTCGCTGTCCCAGTCGTTCTCCGAGTCACTTTCCAACACAACACGCCGGTGCGATGGAGGTATTGGGATGATCTTGGGGCGGATCTTAGGACGCGGATAACGCAGGGTGACGATCAATCGCTCCGGTGGCTCCGGCGATCGACTTAATCTTGAATGAGGCTTCGTGCAAACATAGATGCAATCTTCGGCTTCTTTGCGCAGTCTAATGGTCACGAATAGTTGCTTCTGTTTGCTTCGGGGGTGACGCCGGCGATCCACGCGAACTCTCGGTAGCATCGGCGAGCAGTGTCGCTGCACTGCCATCGCGACGAATGAACATAACTTATGATGGAATGAACGTGCTATCAGATAATTGCAAGCCTACTAATAAGCTTATACATGGACGTGGTGGCTGAGACTAAGTATGGTTGACGGGTGTTGCAGCGTCCTTCTTGTTGATGTTTGTCGCGTCGTTGTCGGGGTCCGTGTTGCGGACTTGTTGGCCTGATGCAAGCGAAATGAAGACAAACGGCTGCCGCGGAGAATTTTTTCCCAGCGTTCTGTTTGCTGCCAGCGCCGTCGTAAATGGCCCTCCGCTGTATTCATACGGCCCGTGCCGTAATACGCGTTTGTCAGCGGGTCCCTGCATTTCCTGTTTCTCACTATGCAGCATTCATCATGTGGACGCTCTTGTCAACTTTCAGCGCCTTTCGTTCACCGTTAGGTATCTACAGCTACGCGATTTTGTCTGCAGAGCGAGAATGGGCCATGACATCAAAGCCCATATCGCGCCCTGACTGCTTAATGATGACTGTTCCGACGGAAGACCCGCCAGGACGCGTGGTGGCATCGACGATGACGGATCGTCGAGAGAGAGAATTAGAGCCGCCTTGAGGAGTGATGTGGACGTTTCAAGAGTTGCTTGGAGATGGATGTAGTATGATCCTGACGTCTACCTCTTGCATAGGCCGATCAATCATCTTCAATGTACCCTGGTCTGGACCCCCACTCCCAATCCCAAGGCGCTCGTCGTATTCACCAGACGTAAGAGGATTGATGTCTCCCGAAGGAGCCTCAGAGCGATCCGAAGTCCGATTACGTTAAGCCCTCAACTGACCATTAGAAAGCGGCCACCTGGTTTGTGTTTTTGCCTTTAACCCAGGCCATACCGTTTCCCCTTGATACCAAGACTTGCTGTTTCGGTAGCAAACATATACGCGCAGCTCCCAGACATCGATAAAGCCACCGAGACTGAATACCGACGGCTTTGATGGAAGTTTCATCTCCCTCGTGAGGTTTTGTTCACCTTGTTTCACGATCGCTTTAACACCTGGTTGAGTGCTACATAAGACCCCCAGGCATTTTATCATAAGGTCGTTGACTATGCTATCGAAAACGAGTCATACGATCGGCTTGCTAGGTGGAAGTATGAGCGAGTTCACGAGATAAATGATTCTTAGGCCGAAATTAGCTGTTTGCTTAGGGGAACACTGACGATATGGTTATGCCCTCGCTTTGGAGGGCATGAGTAATACTATTATGGATAATGAATACTTGGCACTTTATTGGAAAGCGTTTTTTCATCTTTGTTGGAGTATATTATTTCACTGATAGTATTGTTCTTTGATGATCATCCTAAGCTTAAGGGTAAGTAGCAGAATAGACAGAGGGTAGAGGCTTAAAGAAACCTGGATAAGTTGTGCAATCTAAGGCATGTTAACACAAGTGAATTCGTATATGACACCACATTAATAGTTGATAGGGTGACTCATTTGGAGCTCAACCCCAGCCCAACAAGTACAAGCAATCACCCGACCATTCTCAACGCTCTGACATCACAACTGACCCTGGATGATGTACAAGCGAGCTTACCGTCACTTTCGCATCATCCATCTCATCCAAAACTTTGTCTAATAAGAGGGTAAAAGAGCAGAGACGCGAAATTGCGAGTGATTCGTTAGATAGAACTAGAATGTAGAGGGATGAGAAAGAGCACAAAACAGAGCATACGGACACCGAACTCATTAAGCTATGTTGGCTAGACAAGACGTTCCCCGTCGAAATCAGGAGCCTGCGTCCCCATTTCCCCAGACTCTAGCCATAACGAGGCTGTTCAAGCAGAAGAAATCGCTGGCTATGGAGGTGATGATAATCAACAGCATTCTGGATCTCGCACATCCTCACGGGTTCTCAAAAGTTCACCTCCCCAGAGCGCCCCTACTCTACTTCCAGTAGCATCTTTGCCGAATTTATTTTGCAACAAGAGTGTCGTCGAAGAACCGATTCCTGTATCGTCATCTACTACCAATTCCTGCTCCTCTCCCCACTGGATGAAGAGGAACAGCCAAAACAACGAGAGAGAGAATGGAGATCCTGTATCTCCGTGGTAAATGAGGAAGAGACGACGATTGACATAGAGCTACGTTCCAGCCCTTCGTATTACAGGGCTAGAAAACTCGGCCGGTATGGCTCACCCACCCGAAAATGCTATTGCGGGATATTGAATTTACTGCTCAAGACGAGGACCAGCAGCATCCGCCATTCGTGGCTTTTCTACAGGAAACAAGTAGGAAACCAGGAGAACAGCGAAGCAGAACCAAGAGCCAAATGGCTGTCCTATGAGCGCAGTGTTGCTGTAAACGACCGACAATTGTCACGCATTCGGTAGGCAGTTGAGGACCAAGGCTGAGAGTATCGTATGCGGAAGCCTGTTGGCGACTCTGTATTGGCAGATATCACTGGAGATTGATTACGACGCGTGGCTCGGCAACCGTTTGAAGTCCGAAATGGCGCTAAAATAGAAAGCAGCGACCTCGATCAATTTCATCGTGAAGGAATGGCGAGTGCTTATCAATGATAACAAAGGAAAACCGATAGAAAATGGCAAGCTTGAAGTACGAAATGCAGAGGGGAGGCAAAGATTGCGGTAGGCGGCATGTGGAAGGGCGGCTGCTGAGGTTGCGAGCGAGGGATGGAGAAGAGTGCGTGCAAGCACTCCTCCAAGAGTAGCGGTATTCGGCACCCCCCTGCACGGTATTCGGCACCCCTTTACTAACAGGAAAAACCGACATCTCAATGAACCACAAACCTCTAACCACTGACCCTAAGCCCTAACCATAACCCTAACTACCTAACCTAACCCTAACTTATTAATTGCGTAATCTCACGTATCTTCCTAGACTTTTCGTAGTTTTTTTCAATTTTTTCTCGATTTTCTATGGGTTTATTTCGTCGTTTGCGCGCGTTTGGTGCAAATGTTAGTGTCGAACGCGTTACTCGACTTTTAGGTGGGAG